TTATAATATAAATATATTTAGGTGTGACTACTGTTATAGTCCCTTATTCCCCAAAAGAGTTGTTGGGTGTGTGATAGCTACAGTAAGTACATGTGGTACTTTCTACACACTTTGTTAAACCCCAAAGGCTCAATTCTCCAGTCTGTTAACATTGAGTTTAATGAATCTGCTTTCTCCTTCCATGACCACAGAAACCTGCATAACAGGTATCTGAATTGTGCTTAAAAAAAAGGGTAAATAACAGTTTGCAATCATACTTTACTATTTACATGCTGCAAGTTAGACTATTACCGCTGTGTTTTTCTCTCATTCCTTGATTCATGCACACACATATATCACCCCTCCTATAATAATCTCTTTCACCTGTTAATCCTACACCTTAATGTATTTATATCATAAAATCAACATATATTTCATATAAAATATTATTGTATAATGATTAACATTATATACCCAACAAACCCCAGTGCAGCAATGTTCTAACAAATCATTACAGATGAATTAGTTAACTTAGTCTCAGAAAATAAAAAAATCACCTCAATTCAATAAAGCTTTTCATGTCCTACCGTGCAGGCATAGGCAACCTTTGGCACTGCAGATGTTTTGGACTACACCTCCCATGATGCTTTGCCAGCATTATCGATGTAAGAGCATTATGGGGGATGTAGTCCACAACATCTGGAGTGCCGAAGGTTGCCTACCCCTACTGTGTCATCAGAAAAAGTTGATGATGAAAATTCTAAGAAATATATTAATTACCATTAGTCTTTTTTTCCCTTTGCAATTTTATTGAGATGATAAACTAGAACCAGATTTCTCAAAAGGGAAGTTGAGCAATTGTTAGTAAATCAGTTTTATTGATGAGAACTCCAAGATAAATGTCTCTGCAATACTCAACTCATACTCAGTCCAGTGTTGGTTATGCTCCACCCAATTTAAGGCCCAACTGTATACTGACATATAAAAATGTGTATTTTGTTTATTTATTTTTTATTTAAATGAGAACTATATCATTACGAAAACAAACCTGAATTCATACTATAGTGCCACTGTTCCTACTTGTCTTAAGCTTCCTCCCCTTTCCTATGATAATTCATTGAATAAATGCTTCACTTACCCTTTTCAGCACTGACCCTGCAATATTGTCATTTTAAAGTCTCTATAGGTACAAACAGGGTGGGAATTGTATAATGAGCAATGTGTAAATATGTTGGAGATTTAAAATAAATATTACCACTAAAGAGTTATTCCAAGCATCATGACCACTTCACTGATTTGAAGTGGTTATGGTGTGTGGAGTTTGTGTGTACAGTGTTTAGCTATAAAATGCTGCACATACAGACTTTAACTCGTCTGGGAACCCCTGTGTAACTTCAACTTCGGTAGCCAAAGGCAGCATTCCCCCATGTCCTAGCCTCCGCCGGCTCTACCTGACATCCCCCACCCACTGCCAGAGGTTATTGACATCAGCCATGGAGGATCGGGCTGTTTTATGAAAACATTGGTTTTGGGTTGGAGTAACCCTTTAATGCCCATCATGTCTTTTGAACAATACATTCTTAGATGGAATTTCTAAGAGTACTACTCCATGTGACAAAAATAAAATTATTGTGGCTTCCTTTAGTAAAGCGGGAATTATATTTAATTAATCTCTTCTTTCAGGTTTAAATCCATTTGAAGTATTTGAAATTCCAAGCAGCACAAGTGCCAAGTCATATGGAAACAGATACATTTCATGCGTGATTCTTATACCACTCCATAGCACATGAAGCAAGTAATACATTTCTAAGATCTCCAGTTTAAATATGGGAATGTATATCATGAACCAAATTATCTTCACGGCGAGTCTGTAGTCTATTTTTCATTGCGTGAGTCACAGTTTAAAATAAGGCCTGCTGTATCTATAATGTTGAAAAAAATGCATCAGAGCATAGCACAAAGTTTTTAGTAATATGTAACTTTAAGTTTTAACTTTAAGTGATTGTGGGGGCACTCTCCATCCCCCAAATGTATGACAATGGAAGGAGGGCCTAACTTGTCAGCTTGACCAAAACTATCCCATTTTAACACACACACTGTTGGAGGCAGTGTATGGGTCAATAAAAGCACCACTGGGTAGAGGGTGCGAGCTCGGCAGCAGGGTCCCTCACATAATGCTTAATAGCTGTTTGAAATGTATATACTTTATTTCTGTTTTATGGTTTTGTTTCTTAGGTTATGTTCCAGGTTGTTCCCCCTGCCCTAACCCCCTACCCGAGATGCTCCCCTTTCACTACTGGGTACGACGAGGGGAAAAAATAGCCTCACCCCACCAACTCTGTCATGTAGTGGCAAGAGAAAACACTACACCCAAACAACCGGGCCCTAGGGCCACCCCAACTAGTTAAAATGACCTCCGCCAATAAATTCCGCCTGGTGTCTCTAAATGCCCATGGGCTGAACACCCCACAAAAACGCAGGCTGGCGTTTTCCCAATTACGCACTCTACACGCCTCTGTAGCATGCATACAGGAAACCCACTTCTCAATTAAAAACCCACCAAAATTCTCGTCCACATCTTATCCACAAGCTTACCATGCCACGGCACCGAATAAGACACGAGGTGTTAGCATTCTCTTCCACTCTGATTGGCAATTTAAATGTGAAGTAGAATACAAAAGCCCTGATGGCCGGCTTCTAATACTAGTAGGACTATTAAATGACGTCCAGGTGACAGTAGTCAACCTATACGCCCCCAACACCAACCAGTATGACTTCCTTAGGAAAGCTTTACAACAAGTAGACAAGAAGAAGAAAGGGCAGATGCTTATATGTGGAGACTTTAACTGCGTACTGGACCCAGCTCTAGATAGGACCGGCAAACCCTGTTCCCACTTGCGATCAACACAGCTAGGGATGAAAGTGACAGCGCTCCTCAACTCACACGGCCTACACGATACATGGCGTTCGCTATACCCAGCATCTAAAGACTACACGTTCTATTCCAAGGTACATGATCGATACTCCCGGATAGACATGTGCTTAGTGGATGTGAAAACGCTAGATACCCTGGAGGAGGTATCAATTGCCCCCTTGACTTGGTCAGACCATGCCCCCCTCACTTCAGTCTTTACCACGCTCCACCCGGTCCGGGGTCGGGGTCAGTGGAGACTAAACGAATCACTGATAGACAATGTGGACAGGGCGGCCGAGATAAGGAGTGCCTTGGCGCACTACTTTGTAGATAACCACTACACCGACACGAACGTCGCAATGACATGGCTTGCCCATAAGGCAGTAATGCACGGTCTGCTAATACGACAAGGGGCAAAACTGAAGCGCCAACTGACAGAAAAAAGTAAGACCCTACTGACCGACTTAAAACAAGCAGAAACACGACACAAGACCTCCCCCACACACTCCAACAGGCAGGAGGTACAGAAGTTAAGGGCCACTATAGAAGCACTACAGATGCAGCAAGTAGAACGGGCAATTCGTAAAATGAAAACCAACTACTATAGACAGGGTAACAGAGCGGGCAAAATATTAGCCTCCCAACTCAGGGAACGCACCTCGCAGGCAAATATCCCATATATTAAGGACGACACGGGCACCAAGATTAGAAACCCCAAAGCGATAGTAGACAAGTTTGCCCAATTTTACGCAGGGCTATACAACCTGTCTGGGGACGCCAACCAACACCAACCCAGTCCCCAAGATATTACTTCCTTCCTAGACGGAGTGACTCTCCCTCGACTTTCCAACGAACAGGCCGCTGCACTGACCAACCCAATTGAAGCATCTGAAGTATCAAAGGCTCTACACGACACGCCCAGACACAAAGCCCCAGGCCCAGACGGCTTCTCAACCCACTACTACAGGGTTTTTGAGGACCAGCTACTCCCCCATCTCACGGCCTTATTCAACCACATTCTAGAGTCGGGGGAGATACCCCCGGAAATGTTGGAAGCCACCATTATTACGCTCCCTAAACCAGGCAAAACTACTGATACATGCGCACACTACCGCCCAATCTCACTCCTCAACGCTGACACAAAATTGTTCGCCAAGACCCTTGCAAACAGAATACGCCCTACACTAGCTCAATTAGTATCCCCAGAACAATCAGGGTTTGTCCCGGGGCGACAAGTAGAAGATAACACCAGACGAGCCCTTGACGTAATGGAACTCATGAATAGAGATCGGTCACAGGGCTTAATAATGGCCTTAGACGCAGAAAAGGCCTTTGACAGACTCCACTGGGGTTACATGACAGAGGTCCTGCGCAGGTTCAACTTCCCGACAAAATTCCTAGCTGGGCTCTTATCCCTCTACTCGTTCCCCCAAGCCACAGTCATGAACTCTGGTTTCATTTCCAGCAGATTTGCCCTATCGAACGGCACAAGACAGGGATGCCCCCTATCGCCCCTCATTTTTATCCTGGCACTGGAGCCCCTGCTCCATAAAATCAGGACTAACCCCTGCATTCTAGGCGCCCCCTCCCCGACAGGCCCGCAAAAAATGGCAGTGTTTGCTGACGACATCCTTCTCTTCCTAACAAACCCTTCGGACTCCCTACCCGCCCTCCTGGACCTACTACGGGACTATGTAGCAAATAAAATAATGTAGCAAAAACACAGGTACTCCCGCTGAACATGCCCAGATCCCAACTCACGACCCTACGAACGTTATACCCCTTTGAATGGAGGAAAGATACCATTTCCTATCTAGGCACACAACTAGCACCCTCCAAACAGCTCCTCATAAAACATAACCACGGGCGACTCACAGCAAAAATAGAGCAGGTGCTGGAGGGCTGGGGAAGCAAAAACAAACACACATCCTGGTTGGGGCGCATCAACGCCGTGAAAATGATCATACTACCGCAAGTATTATTTCTATTCAGGGCCCTACCCATCAGTTTACCAAACTACACCCTCCGAGCAATTCAGCGACTCATCCATGCACACATATGGAGGAAAAAAACACCCAGAATCTCACTAGCAAATATTAGCACAGCCATGGGGGAAGGCGGGGTGGGTGTGCCACACATAACCAAATACTACCTAGCAACAAACATATCTCAGACGGCACGCCTCCTCTCCACCTCGAATTGCCCACTGTGGCACCAACTGGAAAGTGCTGTCTGTGCGCCTTACTCCCTTAGGGACCTGGTTTGGATCCCAGCCAAGGCCCAACCTCGACTCACGAACCCTCTCACAACAACCAAGCTGTCCCTGCAGCTATGGCTGAGATGGGCCCCAAAAATGCTTAGTGCAAAGATAGAGACCCTTGCCCCACTGACAAGTCTCCAGCACCATACACATGACCTGGATCTGGGCGAGTGGGTGGACAGGGGGCTGACGCAGATAACACACCTCTATGGAGCTAATGGGCTGCTAGCGTTCCCAGACCTCCAGAGCCAATACCACCTACCAAACAGCAAAATTTTCACATATTTACGCATAAAACATATCTTAGGGGCCACCGGCAAGGAAAGGACACCAACACAACCCCAAAACCACTTTGACTTGCTATGCCAAGGTCTAAAACCCCCCAAAAAAACACTCTCGCCGTGTTACCATAGGTTGCTAGACATAGACAGACCGGCCAAACAATCATACATGCTCAAATGGGAAAGAGAATTGAACTGCGAACTCGAGCATGGGAAGTGGATAGGGGCCATGACACTAGTTAAACGGGCGACAAAGTGCTTGGACCATGTAGAAGCAGCCTACAAGATGTGGATGCAGTGGTACTACACACCACACAGGTTGGCCCAAATATACCCAGGGGTGCAGGATAGATGTTGGCGCTGCAGCCAACAAGTGGGAAACACGAGCCACATATTCTGGTACTACCCGGCACTCAGCCAATACTGGCAACAAATCCAAGACATAATTAAATCCAAACTAGGAAAACAATTACCACTCAAACCTGAACACTATCTGCTCCACATGCTACCCCGAGACCTTACAGCCTATGAAGCAGTGCTGACTACCCACATCACCTTAGCAGCTAAAACGTGCATAGCCGCCTTGTGGAAAACAACGACAGTACCTGACATAAAAACAGTACTCGCCAAAATAAGCCTCACCCGACAGTACGAGCAGATGGCACATACAATAGGTGGCACATTAGAACACTACAACAGGACATGGTCCAAGTGGTGATGCCTGGGTGAAGGACGAATTACGCCCCACCTAGCTGACAAACTACGCCCCACCTAGCCTCCAAGCACGAGAGCATCTCACCCCCTTTCCCCCCCCCCCGTACTACACCCTTATCCCAGTTCACCCCCCCCATACACAAAATAAGGGCTTACGTTGCCCTACCGAGCCTTAAAATATGAGATGATGGGCAGGTAAATTAGTTTCCAGCCTACAAGACACGACACCACACAAATAAATAAATAACACGCAAAGGTGATACGAACCCGGTTGCTAACCATCGGGCCTACCCCAAAGAAGAGCGGAGGATACAGGTGGGAGGCTGACCCCCGGAGGCTCGGGAGAAGCCACTTAGAGGCATGATAACACACACCAGAAAGCATGCCCAGTCTACCGGGTAATAAAATCAGGGCACTACTCACCACCTGTAACAAAAGCATGAATGTTGCTTGAAACGACACTCTGTACCATTGCCACGAGGATGTATTGTAAAATGCCATTGTACAATGTTATCACTATACACTCTCTGTTATGCAATATGTATGAAACGTAAAATGTAGGTTAAAGTGTCAATCCGAAACCTTTTCATCTCAATAAAAATGAAACATTTAAAAAAAAAAAGCACCACTGGGGGTAAAAGGAAATTATCCACCCGCTAATCTCCGATACAGTGCTGTAGAATGATCGTTAAATATAAATGAATGAGAACCTTCTATCGTCCAGGAGATTAATCCTATGCCTACAACCCTCAATGCTGCACTATTCATTGCCTGTGAGATGGGGGACAATTAATGTGGATGGAAGAAGGAGGATGTTGAAAGAAGTGCGTGGGCACATGCAAGTCAACCTGATCATCATGTTCACTCAAGGTTTGTTACCACGAGCGAGAATGGGGCTAGCGATAAAAATACAAGCAGAATACAGCGATAGACCCTCTGATCCTAGAGAAGAGGGGTAGGAAAGGTTTGGTCAATCAAGGGTCCTATCTTCAAGAACCTGGAGGGAGGTCACCTAAACTGTTCTTTGTAGGAGGGAGTAACCCTCAAATCATATTAAGAAAACTCACAGAACCTAATATACTCCACTAACGGGTGCGCACAAAAGGGAGAGCACACTGGTGTATAGAGAGATAAAAGCAACAATAACCCTAATATTTATTGAATCTAAACATGTAGATAGCCTGACACATAAAAAAGGTAGCTCTAAGATAGAGGGAGCTACTCTAGACAGGTAGATATTCTTAGGTTGGGAGAGGCAACAATAAAGCAAGACTTCTTGACAGTAACAAGAAAAAAAAAAATGGAAGGGGTAAATAAAGAGTAAAGCATAAATATACTCAAAAAGAACTTGTGCTGGACCAAGGCTCAGTCTTATAGGTTATTGTTGCTTTTATCTCTCTATACACCACTGTGCTCTCCCTTTTTTGCACACCCGTTACTGAAGTGTATTAAGTTCTGTGTGTTTTCTTAGAATGAGGTTAGACCTCACCCA